GGATTGTTTAAAAACATAAATGTATAGAACAAAGTATAGGTCCCTTAAGCACTGCACCAACAATGATGAATTCTGAATTCCAGTAACTTGAATGTTTAAATACCATGTGTACTGGGAAAAACACATTTTTTACTGTTAATTCAATAATTGTATTATGTACAGGACACAGTTACTGCTTTATCTTTTGTTAACAARTTGTGAATCTTCTCTTTGAAATTAAATTCTAAATCCAGCTTTCTGTTCATTGTTCACAGCTTTACAACGGAGATCTTTGGGGTGGAGAGGTAGAAAATGCTTTATTGCTTTTGTGGCCGAAGGCAGTWTAGTGTTAGATTTAGATTATGTTATCTTGTGTATATATAAGGTTATTTAACATCAGTGGTCAAGTCTTCAAAATTATGTAGAAAATGAACAAATTGTGCTGAAAYGACTTAAAGGTCAACATGACTAAAATTTCAAACAAGTTCTGATGTTTTGAAGGGGGGAACACTGATTATTAGTGCTTGCATTTTGTCAGTATGCATGTAACACATTTTTGAAGAAAATGATAAGTATTCCTTTTGCTTGTTCTTTTAAAAAATATATGGCACCTGAAAATTTCTTACATTTACTTRGTGGAACAAAGCTTAATATAGGAACATTGGGGAGAGTAAAAAATAAGCCAGTACTTTCTCATGTATTGGAAATTTTGATTACTTTGTTGATTATTTTTTTGCAGTTAATAACAATTGTTGCTTTTTTATGAATATGATGTCTTTTTATGTTTAAAGTATTGGCATCAGTTTTAACACCYGAGGTCTTACCCACTTGTAGTAGATAATGTACCCTCCTTTTTTTAGGCTTTCTGAAGTATTCTGTGTGAAAGATGGACCAACCTATCCAAAAAAAAAAAAATTTTTTTTTTTTTTAAACTCCAGTTGACCTTTAAAGTAAAACGGACTACTTTTCTTGTGTAATGCTGGTGGTACCCTCTTGCTCTTTGGAGAATAAGAAAGATCTGAAATGTTATCCCTTTTCTGTTTTTCTTGCCTTCTTTTGCATCTGTTGTAAAGTTTTATAGCCATTCTTCAGTGAGGATTTAGTAAGTCTAAGACCATTTTAAATGTTGAAAATTAGTAACTAGAAGGAGAGAAATAGTTTTCCTAAAATAATTTTTTTCTTTGTTTTTTCTTTTTGTTTTGGTACTAGGGATTGAACCTAGGGGAACTTTATCACTGAGCTATATCCCCAGTCCTTTTTTAATTTTGAGACAGGATCTCACTAAATTGCTGGGGGTTTTGCTAAGTTGCTGAGGGTGGCCTCAAACTTGTGATCCTCCTGCCTCTGCCTCCTTACTTGCTGGGATTATAGGTCACCACTGTACCTAGCTTAAAATAAGTTTATTTCTTATTACCTTTTTGATTCAGAAGGTAGCTGAGAAAAATAGTTTTTGCAAGTTGAAGAATTCTAATATAATATTCAAAGAGTAAAGGTAATCATGGACATCAGATGGTCAGAATATGCCAAAAGAAACATTAATGTGGCAGTGTAAGGTATCAGCTCATTGCCAGACACCAGAAGCCCAACATGAATGCCTGGTGTGGGGAGTGGTAGTATACCAGTTGTTGGCTAGGTGTAATAGTGAGGAAGTTATATGCAGCCAGACTGTGGAAGAGGATGGTAACTAGCAGAGTTTGGAACTTTTATTAATTGACTCTTTTTCTTTTGAAATACTTTATTTTCTCTTTGGTATTTAAATGGTAAAATATATGACTGAAAGTTGACTGTTTTGGAGAATTTTCTATAAATCAGTTTGCTTACATTTAATCAGTCTTTGAAGTGAAGATATACAGGGAAAAGAATAAATTTTGCAAGTTGATAGTATTAATATAATTTGCAAATATTGTGGTGCTACGAATTGACTATTGCTTGGCCTACATTACTTCCTTCCCATTGCAAGCAAGCCATCATTAGTTTTCTTTTTCATTATATCATGCAATAAAGCAATATTGTTCAGTAGAACTTTTTTATGATAATGGAAATGTTCAGATTTGCACCAAGCAATCTGGTAGCCACTAGCCCCTAGTGCTCTTGAATATTCAGGCTGCAACTTGTGCAGCCAGAGAACTGAATTTTAAATTTTATTTAACTGAATTTAGATAGCCACATTGGTTAATTACTACTGTTGTAGATAGCATAGCTATAGAAAGTTGAAASTTGACTGTATGACATTGTATTCTTAGTTCCACTCTTTTAAYTTTTTCATTAGGTTTACCTCCCCAGAATATCCTTGAATCTGTCCTGTTTAATTTTTTGYCCTAAACATATATTGCTTTYATCAAAACAGTGGYAGAAGTATAGGGCAGATGAAATAAAATGTAAGTTTTGCAGCATTCATGAGAAAAAATTGAGAGCTTTCAAGATCTATATAGAAAAATAGCCAACATTTCTATTCAAATAAGTTAGGTTAAAAATACTCATGCCTTGATTTAACATTTTACCTGATTTAAGAAGTCCAGTGTGATGCTTTTACCCTTTCTTTTTGACTGCAAAAGTAAGTTAACAGGTATACAGAAAAGGGATGAAACATCTTTTTTGAAATTTCTAAACACGAAGACGAAAAATCTGAGTATCACCAGTGTACATACATGTTAGAGCATGATTTTATTGTCATGATTTAATTTTGTTTTATCTCATTAATTGATCACAACCTTCATAAAACCAATAATAGCCTTTTTGTAAAAATAAAAACATTGACTATTGAGATAATTTATCCATTMATTTAAATTCCCATCACTTTGCTCATGTGTGGAAGCATGCAATTAATTGTGAATTTACATTTGTTAAAACTTGACCACTGCACTATACCTCTTTCAGAGTTGTTCAGTTTGTTTTTTAACTAAATGAAATTTTCATCAGCATGTGTTTCAAAAACAGCTTTGCTGCTTATTTCATTATATGCCTGCTGTGGTGTGAAACATCCTGGACTGAATTGCATGTTCTTATTATTATTRTAAGAAAATATATTTGGGTGGAAATTTCAAATTTTTATGAGATATAAAATGCATATGTTTTCATATGCATTAAAGTTAAAATATCACTAGAGATTAAAATATTCTGCATGTTTGTTTTATAAGTAGATTTGGGGGCCTAATGCCATTTTAGCATGGTATTAAGTCACTTCAAATAAGTATTATTGTGGGCTGATTGTTATATTTAACTATATGCTCTCATGCCAGGAGGCATCAAGAGAGTGAGCATAATCATGTGCAAAGGCAGTATTAATGTAGACATTAAATTCGATAGACTGAGTTTAACCATTCATTTTTGGTATTAGATACATTGTAGTGTATAAAAGGATGCTGTAAATTATGAAGTTTATGTTTATATTAAGTGAGTTATTTTGTGGTCAATCAAGCTTACGTACTTTAAAGAATAGGCTTTTAAATGAGAGGAAGGAATGTGGTGTGCATGCACCGATGTTTAGTGGACAACTGGATTTATGGGACCTAATTGGCGGTGAGAACTGTCATTGTTTGATTTTTTGATTTTTTAAAAAATCAGGATGATAATATTAAACAAAATATGGTGTTTTATATTATAAAATTATTTGTAATATAACCCTCATATTTATAACAGATAAGTAATTTAATGATTCTTTGTTTCAGGTTATAAGAAGATAATAAATGGTTGGTTCCTCTTAAAGTTACTAAATTCTAGGTCTATGAATGAGTTTTTTACTCTTCTATAGATTGCACTCACTTAACCTAATGATCTTGCCTACTGAATTTTTCTAGATAAAACAATACTATAGTGGGAAACCTTCTATTGTAGTGGTTCCTAAATTTTTGTGATCATATATTCCTTTGAGAATAAAATAAAATTACAGATTGTTCATATAAAATATGTATAAATAAATAGATGGGTGGAAAATTTTGTGCATGGTATCAAAGAATTTGTGGATCTGCCTGGAGATTTTCCATGGGCCTTAGCTTAAAGACCTGTGCTTTTTTGCATCCACCCATTTCCTCTCAGTCAGCCAAGACTGTGTTCATTTAAATGCCTTTGGATATAGTATATAAAAGTAACTATATAAATGTCAATTATGTAATTTCAAAAGATCCTCCTCCCTTGTAGTATTGTATTATATGTTTTATCTTTATACCTGTATTTGTTTTAATATGGGTTTTATATGGGATTTACTGTATTTTCCTTTTCTCTTTGATCTGATAGCTATTTAAAAAGTTGAGCTTGTATTTTGCATATCAAATAAAAATAGTTTTTTAGAAAAGAATGCAAATCAACTCAAATGGAACCATTTGGGGTATTATGCTTTTGGAATAGATTTGTAGATACATCTTTCTAAAACATGACTCCTCTTTTCTTCATTTTAATCATTTTGCTACTGATGTAACTAAACAAGGATTCACTAATTATACAGGCTGGAAGCGCAATTCATTGACCCCTAAGACAACTATTTTCCCTTGCCCTGGCTGTGAACATAATGTGGATCTTGGAGAACGAGGAATCAATGGTCTGTTTCGAAATTTCACTTTGGAAACTATTGTCGAGAGATACCGGCAGGCAGCTAGGGCAGCCACAGCCATTATGTGTGACCTTTGTAAACCACCACCTCAAGAATCCACCAAAAGTTGCATGGACTGTAGTGCAAGCTACTGCAATGAATGCTTCAAAATTTATCATCCTTGGGGAACTGTAAAAGCTCAGCATGAGTATGTGGGCCCCACCACTAACTTTAGACCCAAGGTAAGTTAGAATGTTATAAAATATTTAATGTTATAAATTTAATGTTATAAAATATTATTATGAGGACTCGGATTGTGGTGCAGTGGTCAAGCACTTGCCTGGCATGTGTGAGGCCTTGGGTTCGATCCTCAGCACCACATATAAATAAATGAAGTAAAAAAGCCATTGGCAACCAAAAAATATTAAAGAAAAAAAAGGTTGAGTCTGGAACTTGACAGAAAGAAAGTAACATTAAAAGGAATAGTATAAGAATCTAAGACCCAGTCCTCTTATTTGGAGTTATGTAGTATGGGGCTAAAAATCTCCCTCTTAGAAAGCCAACCTTTAGATAAACTTGGGTTTCATTCTATTAGAATCCAGTGTAATCCAATACAATAAGTGAATCTTCATACTGATAACTCTGAGTAATAGGGGAAAGATATCTCTCTGATTGGAATGTTTTAGGAAGCTTTTATGCTTTAGTGTGATAAACTCAAAATTGCCCATAAGATTTGGTTTGGAAACACATTTTTTTCTGATATTTTTAGTTAGCTTAAATTGTACTATGAATAAAGGGCAATTGCAGCTTGATATTCTCAATATTCTGAAGTTTAGAATATCTCAGGTAGAATATGCATTTCTTAAACATTCTGGATGATTTGTTTAGTAATGCTCACAAGAACCTTGTGATTTATCATATGTTCTGCTATGTAACTATATGTCTGAAAAGCAGAATGGTTTTTGGATATCTTCATTTTCTGATTTATATAGATTTTAAAAAACTTTAATTTGATTTTTTTGGGGGGGGGGTACCTGGGATTGAACTCAGGGACACTCTACCACTGAGCCATATCCCCAGCCCTATTTTGTATTTTATTTAGAGACATGGTCTCACTGAGTTGCTTAGTGTCTTGCTTTTGCTGAGGCTGGCTTTGAACATGTGATCCTCCTGCCTCAGCTTTTTAAGCTGCTGGGATTACAGGAGTGTGCCACCACACCCAGCTATAAATGATTGTTTTAAAAAATTTCTTACAGCATAGTAACTTGTAAGAATATGAAAATATAATTTGATTCTTAAGTCTAAGGCCTTCAATTTGTGTTAAAAAAGGGAAAATCTCCAAAGTTATATGGAAACTATGAATTGTTTCTTTTTTTTTTTTAAAGAGAGAGAGAATTTTTTAATATTTATTTTTTAGTTCTCGGCGGACACAACATCTTTGTTTGTATGTGGTGCTGAGGATCGAACTTGGGCCGCACACATGCCAGGCGAGCGTACTACCACTTGAGCCACATCCCCAACCCCTGAACTGTTTCTTAAATAGTGTAGGACTGGTAGAGTAAAGCAATAACAATCTACGCTTCCACATTTTGAATGACTCTTCTCAAACTTTCTCATAATGCAATAGATTTATTAAATAGCTTTTTGTGTTCTTTATCTCATTTTAAACACTCAAGGTCATTGATTTTTAAAGATTTTTGAGTTCAACCTGGTGTTTTAGTATTTCTTTTTAAAGATTAATTAAATCAGTTAATCTATTCTATCATAAAAGAACCTATGATTATTAAATTAATTATATTTAGCTTGAGTTTTTGTGAGTTAAGGATTTCATTGTTTTGAGCATAAACTACATTTACCAATATGCTGAAAGATTGATAAGAACCAGAGAAATATAAGTAAGGTTATATTGAAAAAAAGTATTTTTTCCCTTAGTAAGTGTATAATTTAATATAGTATAATTCTAAAAGGGGGTCCCTTGTGCTATAGAATATTTGCATTTAACTTTCAAGGTTTTTTTCCTATATTTTTAGTTATAAATGGACACAATACCTTTATTTTATATGTGGTGCTGAGGATTGAACCCAGTGCCCCACACATGCTAGCTACCACTGAGCCACAACCCCAGTCCCAACTTTCAGGGTTTTTTTTAATCATTTCTTGTAGAAAGCCAAACTTTGCATTTTTACTTCATGTGTAATGACTTTTGAGAATGTAGGAATTTGAATATTCTGAAAAGCTTTGAGATATTTTCTACTGTTTTTTTCTCCTGAATCTGTATCAGTATTAGCATTTTCCATATTGTATAAGTTATCGGACCAATTTTTGTTTGCTAAAATCCAGTCTGTTGGAACCATAAACAACTTTTTAATTTCATTTACATACTAAAAATACCCCCTTGTTTGAAATGAAAACAATTATTTTACATAAAATTTCAAAAGTATCTACAATGATAAATTACAAAATAAAAATGTAGAAATGTGTAGAAAAACACAGTTGGTCAGTGTGATTGTAATTGGTTTATAAAAGCTAACAAACTGGAATATTACATCATAATGTGTTCCAAGATTCTCTTAGCAACAGACTTTTTGTAGGAGTGGTCAGGCTATAGATTCTCATAAGTTGTTCTGGTGTCTTATAGAAATATCCATCAAGATCATTAAGAATTGCCTCGTCTCTGTGGTTGGAGGGCCTTTCAAGCTTGGTTAATCTTTCTGCTAGGAGTGAAACTTTCATTTTCTTATCACCACATTTAAGAGAAAAAAAAATCTCTATATTTAAACTGAAAAATGGTAATTTCAATACAGAAGTTTTTTATTAATATTTTTGTTCACTAAGTGAATATTTACTGATTTTATAACACAAATGTTTATATTTTGGGACTTCATTAGATTACTGAAACCTAGATGCTTAGTCATATTTTATTCCTACTCAATAGATTTTAATGTGCCCAGAACATGAAACGGAGAGAATAAACATGTACTGTGAATTATGTAGGAGGCCAGTTTGTCATCTCTGTAAGTTGGGTGGTAATCATTCCAACCACCGTGTAACCACAATGAGCACTGCCTACAAAACCTTAAAGGTAGGACTTGTTTGTTGTTTTGGAACTGAATTTTGATTCTTTGTAACTTTACCTTAAGCCTTTAAGTTTTTATTTATGAAATTATGGCTTGCAAAGTGAGCTATTTTACAGAAATGAGTTAACAATGTAAAGTATTACTTAATAATCTACTGATTGAATTACTTCCTATTAACTTTATACATGAACCTTATAAAAACTTGAAAAGTTTGATTAGTAACAAAGCAAGCAGTGGTGTATCCTCCTTTTTTATTTCTTTTTTTCCATTAAGCAATATATTAAAGAGGAATTAATTCATCTATGAAACTACCACTCATTTTAATTATCACCTGTTTTGTTTAATATCATTATTATTTTTTTATGTGGTGCTGAGGATCGAACCCAGGGCCTCACAACTGTGAGGCAAGCACTCTACCACTGAGCTACAGCCTCAGCCCCTTATCGCCTGTTTTTAACACTATGTATATAATTTTTTTTGGTCTATATCTAATTGCATATATACACAGTTTTATACTTTGTGTTTTATACCTATATCACACTCAGTATTCCCTCTGTTGTCTTTGAACTTGTAGAAAACAGGTATACTTATTTTAATTCTTTTTGTCTACCAATTTTCTCACCTTTGTTATATCTAGGTTTGCTTTAATTGATTTTTCTCATTATTCTTCATATTTCCCTTTGATTACCTAGTAATTTTTATTGGCTGCCATGTATTGTAAATTTTACCTTGGTGTTGGATCTTTCTGTATTCTTAAAATAGTCCTTGCATGTGTGTGTGTGTGTGTGTGTGTTTGTGTATGGTGGGGGGATGCCGGGGGTGGCCTAGAACATGCTAGTCAAGTGCTTTACCACTGAGCTACATTCCCAGCCTCAAATATTCTTGAATTCTTATTGGGTATGTGATTAAGTTACTTGGAAACTTGCTGTTAAACCTTGTTAGGCAGGACAGAATGGCATTTTATTCTAAGGCTAATTTTACATGCTTATAGAGGTTACCCTTTCTGATGGCCTATAATTTTGAAGTTTTTTAAATTTAACTATTTTGTCTGGCTTGTGGGGAACAAGCACTACTCCCAGCCTTATGTGAGTTCCTGGAATTGTTCCCTCTTTGATCCTTTGGGTCATATTTTCCTTGTCCCCTGGTAATATCTTCATGTACGAGTTGATAGATGCTGTGTTTTGTACATTTCTTTACAGCTATCTCTTCTTCAGTATTAAGCCTTACAGACATGGGCTTCCTGTACTTCCAGCTCCATCTACATTCATGGGAGTCCCTGGTCCCCTTTTGAGTTCTCTTCTGTACTAGGCCTTAGAAACCTCCAGAAAGTAAGCTAGGGCAATGGTGGGCTCGTCTTCATGACCATCTTTCAAGGAAAGGTTTTTCTTTGTTTTTATCCAGTGTATTGAGCGCTGTTTTATATTTTGTTAGGTTGTTTGAAGTGGTAGAGTAAATCCATTTTTTGTCACTTTGCCTCCATAGTTTTCCCGACATATTACTATCTGTAATTAAATTTAACACCTTTTTAAAGGTCTCTGTTTCTTGTTTTAACCTTACACAAGCTGTTTAAATTTTTTTCTATTACCTGGAATCAGTCTTTAATAATAGCATACACTTAAGCTATTATGTTAGAGCAAACTGTGTTTCTCCTCTGTTTTCTGGGCAGAAGTGGGTTTTCTAAACTTTTCATGCAGAGTTTGAAATTAAAGAACACAGAGGCTCATTTCAGTTTTCTCATTACAGAGAGTTGGTTGGCTTATCTTTACTTTACCCTCCGAACAGCTATATCTGCAATAGGTAATGGACATTTTACAGAAGAATGTTTCCTGAAGAATTTTTGCTAGTTTTGTTTCCCATTGATTTATTTCCTTTCATTTCTAAAGGAGGAGTTTAAGAATCTTGTTCCTGTACTACCATCTCTTCTGGTTTTGATTTTAGAGAAGTTATTAACAAAGAGGACATAGAAAAGTAAAAAATGCAAACATCCTTGCAAATAGTCCTCATTGAATCAGGAAGTAAATAATACTGCATTTGTGTTTTAGGGTATTTTATTTATACTGTTTTTGTGAAATTTGTGGTGAATAGTATTGTCTTGTTTTCTGAAATAGCTTTGGCACTTGACTAAATGTATCATTTTATACTCTTTCTTCCTACAATTTTGTTTTGAACCTTTTCAGAGGTAGAGCAAAGCCATCATCTCTAAAATTGTAGAGCTGAGAGCAGGGACCATCCTAGTTATGTATCGTTTCTACATAAAGATATTCATTGTGAGTATTGAATGACTTCCCCTTCCTCTCTTCCTTCTTTGTTTCTTGTCTCTAATGTTTCTATAGTACCTTTCATTAAGGACGTGATTCAAAGAGGAAAAGAGTGGCTCTCAAACTTTTGGGAGTGTTAGCCTCACCTGGGGCACAACTACAGAGGCCAGCTCTGTACACTTCAAGGGTCTTAGGCCTCTATGTTCTTTAATCGTGCTCAGGAGACTCAGATTTGAACCACTGTTCAGAGGAAAGCTTCTGAGAAATTGTGAGTCCTAGAGAAATTAGTCTCTGACCAGTTCCTGGAGAACTGGAATGTGGAGTTGTTAAAAATTACTTCCACTATTGGGTAAGCTTCCTGCCTTGCCATTTTACATTTTACTTTTGTTGTCAATGTCTGATTCTTTGTTTGGAGGCCTATGAATAAATGATATATAACATACTGATTCTTGGTTTAATATAGTCTGCCTAGGTCTGAGGGCATTAAAAAAGAGTAAGGCTATCTCAGAGAAAGGATGTAATTGGCTGTAGACTTTTTCTAAGCCTTAAAACTCAGTGGGTATGAATGATGGTGCTCTGAGACTGTGTTTCTGAATTTTGTCATCTATTCTTGTCTGGTCCTTACATCTTTGGAAGAATCAACATTTGTTAGCCCAATTAACTTATCTTAGTCTTCTTGTAATTTAGGCTGTCTTAGAACTTAGCCTCACTTGGATTTACATGACCAAATTCAGCTCTTTACCATTAAAGTTGAAGAAAAAAATGAGTACCGTCCACCAGTACTTAGTACTTCTGGTCCCAGCCTGGGCCCAACAGGGACAGTATTAGAAGAACTGCTATTTGACTTGCAGCTTGGTGCTGGAGAAATGCCCCCCAGCCCATGGAATAGTGATTGGTGTCCTATGCAGTAAAGGGGTTTCTAGTTCAGTTATTGATTGTATGATGTGCTTTTATGAGCTTTTGTTTCCTCATCTGTAAAATCCTGGGTTAAACATAAGAATTTATGTATTTTCTTAAATCCAATAATTTCTGGTCTTGTTCTGTCTTTAATCGCCAGAAATCTTGTTCCTTTGCTTAACAGGTCAGGTCCTCCTTCTCTCCAGTGAGCCATTAAGGACACTCACGGTGTCTAATTCCTCTGAAATAGAAATATGGGTCCTGCAGAACTTGTCACTTTTATTTTTGCATACATTCTCTTTCCTTGTTATGTGGTCTAAGGAAAAAAAAAAAAAGAGGAAGATGCTGGGGTAGGAGACTCACTTCTTCAATTGCTAAAAGTGATCTGTCCCTCTTCCTTTCTTGCCTACTCTTCCCATTTCAGATCATCAGCAGTGACTGAGACACTGAATTGCTCAAATCCTGTCAGGCCAGCAGCTTGTGAGATGTTTCCTGGTTGTACTTATTGTTTTTCAGACTTCGAAAACTTTATCCAACTTTTTATGCTCTGGTGCTTTCATGGCTTTTTTTTTTTTTTTTTTTTTTAAAGATATAATGCATAGTATCTTTTTTAGGCTAGACTAGAGAACACACCAAAATCTATGGTGTTATTTCTATGGAAAATGATAGACTCCTTTATAACCAATTATTCAGTAAACTTTGGGAATTGACTATTTTAAAAATAAATCTATTTTCATTATTGTGTAATTATTTAATGAATATGTAGGCTGGGTTAGGCTAGGAAGATTACTTTGAATTGTTATTTATTGCTTTTTCCATTATGGATGGGTGGGTGTGAGTAAATTATAAAATCTGATGGAAAACAAGACTGAATTTCTACCCTTCCATTTACTTAGAGACCTTAGGAGGAAGAGTTCTGGGATTGCTAATGAAACAACAAAAATGTACTATTTGTGTATTTAGAACTTTTAAAATTATTTTTAGAATTTTTGACTAAGTATCACTTTTATTTTTTCCAACTTGATTTTTTTTTTTTTGGTGGTGATACTAGGGATACTCTGCTTTTGAGCTACATGCTACATCCTAGCCCTTTTTATTTTGAGACAAGGTTCTGCTACATTGTCCAGACTGGCCTTGAACTTGTGATCCTTCTGCCTCAGCCTACTGAGCAGTTGAGATTAGAGATGTGTGCCACCATGTTTGCTTCCAACCTGATTTTAATCTTCCCCATATCATTGGGCCTCTTTGCTTAAAGGCTAGTAACTATTTACCCTGGGTTCATAAGGATTACCACCAGATGACTGATTTTTACCATCTGTTCATCAGAGAGGATGAATACTGTTTAATTTTTAAAAATTCTAATGCCTTTGGTAAGCTTGTTTTTGTACATTTATGTTATGAATATGTTTCAACAGGAAAAACTTTCAAAGGATATTGATTACCTTATTGGTAAGGAGGGTCAGGTGAAGAGTCAAATTTCTGAACTAAACTTGTTAATGAAGGAGACAGAGGTAAGTGACTGGTTTGCATATTTTTCATTTATTCATCTAGGCATTCATTTATTTGTTCATGAATTCCTGACAGTGTTATGTGAACTGGGAACACAAAGTTGTATTAGATCTCATTCCCACTTTTCTGGGGCTAGCAAAACAAATGTAATTATAATTTATAATGTTACATAATCAGTGCTATGGTAGTGAGTGAGTGATATTGGAACAGAGGAAAGAATGATTGTGGGACACATAATAAGGTATCAAAAAATGATAATAATGATAGCTTTTACAATTATCTGTATTTTAATAAACTTACAGATAGCCTTTGGAAAATGTAGTATGCTACATTGCATGGCTATATATTTTATATTGCATGGATAGGATCATTTGTTTAAAATTGCAGGTGTTCCTGAGTACATGCTCTGCATTTGTTTATGGAAAGATAGTATTTTGGTGTTTGTGGCTCCATAGTTTGTGATAGCCAGAAAGTGAAGACTGCCCAAATACCTGTTTCAGTAGTGAAGTACAAATAGCAATATGAGCAAAGGATCCATAACCACACACAACAGTATAGAGCAATCTAGCTATAATATTGAAAGGAAGATGCCGGATGCAAAGGAGTATATACTCTATGATGACATTTATAAAAAGTACCCTAATGGTGAGACCAGACCACAAGTTTAAAATTCAGGGTAGTCATCAATGATAGGGAAGAATTAATGTGTGTGGAGGTTTCAAGGATAACTTCTAGGATGCCAGTGATGTTCTTTAATATGGATGTGATGTTAGTTGCATGGTGGTGTTTGTAAAGATTCATCTATCTTCATACTTTTATTTAAATCTGTTTTTATATTAGGTTTCGTTAATAAATACGAAAAAGTTATAGTGAATTTAAAATATAGTTGAAGAAGGTAGGACTGGATTATTTTAAAATTCCGAATATTCTTCAATGGCTTTGATGTATACCTGTTTCTCTTCTCTATTTTAAACAAAGCTCAGAACCACTACTCCTGATCACTTTAAAAGTTATAATTGCTGGGTGTGGTGGTGCACACCTGTAATCCCAGTGGCTCAGGAGGCTGAGACAGGAGATCTCAAGTTCAAAGCCAGCCTCAGCAAAAGTGAGGCACTAAGCAACTCAGTGAGACCCTACTCTAAATGAAAAAGAAAATAGTGATGGGGATGTAGCTCAGTGGTCAAGTACCCTGAGTTCAATCCTGGATGCAAAAACAAAACAAAACAAAACAAGTTATAATTAAAAATACCCTGCTAGTATGGGACTGTCATTTCTCAGAAATTTGTTTTTTTTTTCCTTTGGTCATTTTGCCTTGTAGATTCTTTCAGTCATGCTGCCCTTCTTGTCAAAGTAAAGGGAAACCCAGTATTTGTTTTGGGGTTTATAGTAGATAGAAAATCGAGGAACTTAAGCATCAGGTGTTCATGTTGTACTGATTTCTTAAGATCCTGGGGAAATGGGTGAATGTTTTTCTATTTTTGGCTTATCAGTAAGAATCTTCTGCAATAGAGAATTTGTCTCTGTTCTTGACTTTTACTCAGTGATCATGTTGGCACTGTCTTTGTATCTACAATTTTACTTGGCTGGAAAAAAGTCTTAATCTTTGTATAATTGTATTTCTGAGTTTAATGTTGTGATATATCATGGAAATTCTATCAAACTGTCACTGTTTTCTGCCCCTTCACTTTTTTAGTAAGTGTAATTTCTGGGGTTAAGGAAACAGAGGAAATCTGGAACAAATTCTGTTCTATTATAATTGTTGGCCAGAAGCCACTTGAAAGCACACAGTGCACCGTTACCATAGATCACTAGCTTTTAAGAATGTTCTGATAGACTTCTTTTGGTTGGTTCTGCTGTTCACTTTCAAAATTCTGTTGAGCTTTTGAATTCACAAATGTTTAATAAATACTACAGATGGGATCATTTTATGACAAAGTAAATAAAACTATGTATACAATGATAAGAATGTTTAGAGTGTGTTACGTTGTAGTATGCATTTTATGTAAATAATTAGCCTTTTGTAATCTTCACAAAAAACAAAAAAAAAATTTATTTTGAGGGGCAGGGGAGAGGCTCTGGTCATTGATCCCAGGGTCTTGTACATGGTAGGCACATGCTTTATCACTGAGCTGTAACCCCAGCCAGGCTCACAGTTTTCAAAAGAGAAAAACTCATGCATAGAGAAGTTAAATAATTTATATAAGGTCGCATAACTGTCAGGATTTAAATTATTTTTAAATTAATTTGAAGAGGAGACTTACGTTTTAGTTTTGTGGCTATGATTTAACTTTAAGAAAATTAGAGTAGCATAGAAAGGGTTAAAAAAATCTCTGAGTGAATTCAAAACTCTAGAAGTGTTTTCTTACATATTAACATATTTAGTTAAATGAGTTCATTTCTGCTTCAGATTTCTTCCTTTATATGTAACTGAAAATTATGTATTATTTAATCAAATAAATTGTCTATTGCTGGACTTCGGAAGGAAAAAGCCTAATGAAGTACAATATTATAAAATTACAAAGTAAGTGTAAACAAAATTTGTCAGTTGTTCTTTGCTAAGTATATTTGATGCCAAACTATTGTTTTGAAAATTTCAGAAATTTTTTTCTTTGTAATATCTGGATTTGTTCTGTTGAATTTTGATAATTTCATCATCAGATAAATATGATTATGTAGGACTTTGTGAGAAGACACTTGGGTTTTGCTGATGAAGTAATGGTGTAAGTAATGCTTGTTTGTTTTATAATAGTGCAATGGAGAGAGGGCTAAAGAAGAAGCAATTACACATTTTGAAAAGCTGTTTGAAATTCTAGAAGAGAGGAAATCATCTGTTCTGAGAGCAATTGATGCATCTAAGAAACTAAGATTGGACAAATTTCAGACTCAAGTGGAAGAATATCAAGGACTTCTAGAGAACAATGGGCTTGTGGGCTATGCTCAGGAAGTGCTTAAGGAGACCGATCAGTCTTGCTTTGTACAGACAGCGAAGCAGCTCCACCTAAGGTATTTTCTTTTTCTGGTACTTTAGAATCTCTTTAGTAATGTCACTCAGTGCCACTGTGTATTTCCACTTTAGCTCCAGAGTGATTCAAATGCTCTGTTAATGTGAAGTAATGCCTTTCTTCATTCTTAGCATGAGTGTTGAGTGAAGTGTAAGTTTTCTTTTGTTCATCACATTGCAGATATTTAGTCTGATTTGCCTTTTTAAAGAATCATATTTATATAAGATGTATCTGTCTGCAGAATACATAAAGCTACAGAATCTTTGAAGAGCTTTAGACCCGCAGCTCAGACATCTTTTGAAGACTATGTTGTTAACACATCTAAACAAACAGAACTTCTTGGAGAATTGTCATTTTTCTCTAGTGGTAAGTCTTAGCAAAGGCAAAACGTAATTTTAGTCTGAATTTACACTGTAAAGAAAAACACAGTTCTTGCCAGTGTATGCCTCTAATCTCAGTCACTTGGAGGGCTGAGACAGGAGGATTGCAAGTTGAAGACCAGCCTGTGCAACTCAGAAAGACCTTTTATCAAGATGAAATTTAAAAAGGGCAGGGTGTAGTTCAATGGTAGAGTGCTTGCCTATCGTGTACAAGTCCTGGGTTCAGTCCTCAGTACTACAAAAACAACAAAACCCCCCACAATTTTCTTTATTTTGACATTTAAAAAGCAGCATCTCAGTTGCCCAGGATTATTACATCCTGAAGTTATATCCCATTTATGTTTTTATGCATAAAAATATATTCTATTAGCTAATATATTTTTATTTTTTTAAATTTTTTTTTAAGGAGGAAAGGTTTATTTATTTATTTATTTACTTATATTGGTTGTGAACTCCCAATTTTACCCCAAATGCAGATTGCAGAATCACATCGTTTACACATCTACATTTTTACATAATGCCCTATTAGTAATTGTTGTATTCTGCTTCCGCTAATATATTTTTAAATATTACATAAATGACATTATGTTAAGTATCCCATTTTTAAATTGCTTTTTTAAAAATTAAGTTTAATGTATTAACACATGGAATTTCTTTTTCAAAGTTGTATATGTTTATAATATTTAATAAGTAAATAAATCATTTCCCTATTGAGAGACTATTTGTTTCTACTTTTACTCTATTATAAGTGATGCTGCGTTGAAGGTCAATGTGTCAGGCTTTTTTGGTACACATATGTGAGTTTCTCAAGGGCAGAAACCTAGAAATGGAATCTGGCATTTAGGTATTTATATTGCTGTGTTGTTTTGCCGGGTCTGCCATAACAAAGGGCCACAGATTGAGTGGCTTAAACAGCAGCACTTGGCTAAAAGTCTAAGTCCAAGGTGTTGGTAGGGTTGGTTTCTCCTTGGCTTATGGATGGTCATCTTCTCTCTGTGTCTTCACTTGGTCCTCCCTCTGTACAGGTCTGGGTCCTAATTTTTCCTTTTAAGGGACACCAGGGCCTAGTATAATGACCACATTTTAATTTAATTTCCTTTTTAAAGACCTAATCTCCGAATGCAAAAAAATTTTTAAAGACACAATCTCTGAATGCAATCACATTCTAAGACCTGTACTCCATTCTGAGGGTTAGGACTTTTAGCCTTTGAATTTGGCAGGAACACAGTTTAACCCATATTACTTCCTTAGTTTTTGTTTTGCTACCTTCTCAGGAAGATCTTCTTTTTTTTTTCTTCCCACATCTTGTTTCTTTCCTGTCCCTCAGCTTCTAGTGATGGTGAATGATCACAGTCCTTAAAAAGTTTTAGTCTATTTGCTATGCAGGTATAGATTTGTGGATTTGTACATTCAAAGGAAATTTGATTGTTAGAAGTTAAAAACACTTCAGGATTACTGTGATCTCCTTTCTTTTTGAAGGCTATACTGAATCTGATATTATTTATTATGAGTATCTTATTTTTCCAAATCGATATTTATTATTTCAAATGCTGATTCTACTTCATCCACTGTACTCCCTGCTTCCAAACTCTATACCTAAATTGTTTTTATGAGTTCAAGATCTTTCCTTTCCTATGGATCCAAAAACTAAAAGGATGAGGTTGCATGTGGATAATCTTGGATTATCCCCATTGTGTAACAAAGGTCCACTTAAAGGATGGGTGAGAATGAATAGTAATCACCCAGCTTCCTGTTAATGCATGTTTCCTTAATATTTCCCTATGTACACATTTGTTTTTTACAAGCTATGCTTCTAGAAAAGAAATGAAAGGCTATGGATATTTATGCTATTCTGTAACTTGTTTCTTTTTTAAACTTGGAATGTATTTTAGATAATTATTCCATATCTAATTGTGGCTGTATAATGTTCAGGTGTATAAATGCACCTTTCACAGACATATTTATATGCTGCTTATATGTAGCTGGGGGATAAAGAGAAGAAACTCTGTTTTTCATTTCATATCCTCCTCTTGTTAACAAGTTGTGTGTATGTGTGTATATATAGTGTATATATGAGCATGCATGTGTAACTTTTATTGCATATTCTTTTATCTTCCAAGTTTATAAATTTAGTCTTAGAATTATACTTATACACAAATATTTAACTGTAATATTTTAATCATTGCATTTTTAGTGAAATATTAGAAACCTGTTTCCTGAAGTAAATGTTAATATACCTATTCAATGAAATATTTTAGAGCAAAAGTATGGATAAAAAGCTATACAAAATTGTGATTATCTTTGAATTTCCTAAATTTTTTGTTTGTTTTCATTATTTTCTAGTTTTCTTGGTATGTATCATATTTGTACTAAGAAAAATTAAATTGCTTTGCAGTTCTACAGAAGAGAATATGAAAGGAAATTACATAATGTCCACTGAGAATTTGTTTGAAATAGTGAGCACTTAGATTTCAAAATATTAGAATAATTGTTCATGGGAGGATGTATTGAAAAATGTCAAGTCCAGAGCTGTTATTTAGTACAGGGAAGGCATATAGTTAAAATATTTAGTTTATCAGAATTAATAATGATAATAAATGACTGAATCAGTAATTCAGTTTTAATTCTTGTCTTTTAAATTTTTCTCATTTTAGTTATAAATACACATACCTTCTTTATATATATATATATATWTTTTTTTTTTTCTTACACATAGTATTAAAAATTTAGAAAATTCTTAGACAAGCTGGGGCTGGTGGCACACACCTGTAATTCCAGCTATTTGGGAAACAGGCAAGATGATCAGAAGATTTTAGACCAGCCTGGAAAAATTCTTGAGACCCTTTCTCAAAAATTAAAAATAAAAACGTCTGGAGATGCCACTCAGTGACGGTAGAGAGCTTGCAAGGTCCTGGGTTCAGCCCTCCAGTAGCACAGGAAAAAAAAAATGCTTGGATGGTACAGAAGTCCTTATCCAGTGCAACACTTTTACTGGGGAAAAATACAAGTTTGGAAATATCAGTATTTTAACATTGTTTTCTATTTCATAATTCTTTCAGGCATAGATGTGCCTGAAATCAATGAAGACCAGAGCAAAGTTTATAACAATGCCTTGATAAATTGGCACCATCCAGAAAAGGACAAAGCTGACAGCTATGTTCTTGAGTATCGGAAGATTAATAAAGATGAAGAAATGATGCCGTGGAATGAGATAGAAGTGTGTGGCACAAGTAAAGTTGTCTCTGATCTTGAGGAAAACTGTCACTATGCTTTCAGAGTGAGAGCTTACAAGGGTTCCATCTGTAGTCCCTGTAGCAGAGAACTGATTCTTCATACTCCTCCAGCTCCAGGTATTGGGAATACTGAGAATTTTAAAAGGGTAGACTTGGATGAGACCTTGATTGTATCTACTAGTCAGTGTCTCTACCTAGATAGACCTACATTGAAACCACCTTTTGCTTTTAAAAGACTATAGATAAGCTGGGCCTCGTCATGCACACCTTTAATCCCAATGGCTTGGAAGGCTGAAGCAAGAGGATTGTTGAATTCACAATTTAGTGAGACCCTAAGCAACTCTCTAAATAAAATATTTAAAAGGGGCTGGGGATGTGGCTCAGTAGTTAAGAGATCCTGGGCTCAATCTCCAGTACCAAACCAAAAAAAAAAAAAAAGGGACTCCAGACAAGTAGATTCTATACCCAGCTAGGATTTAGAAATGAACTGAGTAGTTGAATTTCACTTTTTCACCTTGTTAGGCTGAGAACAGGATTAGATTTTGACTGATGTCAGTCAGAGAAAAACATGAAAGGAAGACATTTGAGTTAGCAGGGCTAAATTGAGGTTAAAATAGCATCAATGCTACTTTAAAATCTTAAAATAGTCTAATTCTATTTTTGAGTCAGTTTATGAAAAGCTTTACCATGTAGGATCTAGGTACATATTTTTCAAATTTATTGGTATAGTATCCTGAAACTGAATTTCAGTTTAATCTAATTCAGAATTGCCTAGGTTTTCTAACTCAGTGTGATTCTCAGCACATAGGGATGGGAGACATATATTAGAACCACATGGATAGCTTTGTCCCCATACTCAAAGCTCCTTGTCTCCAGCTACTGTTCCTCACTACTCCAAGTTAAAATCCACTGATAACTACTTATAGAGTAAAGATTTTCATGAATTAAAATGATTTACAGGCTAGTTGATGTTCATAAAGTGTGTCCATGGATGAGAGATTTTACTACTGAAGTTGCACTGAGTTTGGCTAGCAGGAAAACATTTTGCCCTGTAAGTCTCTGCCTTAGAAATTCTTCACTTGGTTTTTAGAATTCATTGCCCCTTGCCCATATTTGGTGGCTTATGTACTTATATTTTTTGCACTCAGTCCTTCCTTTTTTTTTTACCAAAATAGAGAGGATAGCAGTGCAATATACATGCATCTTGTGACTTTTAGAATACATATACATAGGATTGGCTTAATTTTTTTCCATTAATTTTAATAAAATCTGATAGTTTTAGTCTGAATTTGCAAGTATTAAGTAAATATTTTAGGATTATGCTATTTCTAGTGTTTTAACCAAAACTAGAAGAAAAAGAATCTTGGACATAGTTGCATATTCAGTGTTGTAGTTGGGTGGGGGAGGAGGAAAGGAATTGGTAAGGGTCATTGTCTTTTCCTCCAAGAAGAAGCCACATGAATAAGGTAACCCTTTAAATTTATTGTGCAAACCTGGGGGCTTTGTAGATAGGAAGCAGGAATAATTATGCTAGGACACTAGGCATTACCAGAAAGACTGGTTTGCCTGTATTTGGGGAATGATTTCAGCTTGCTGGCAGTCATTTTTAAAAATTGTGGTATAATAGAAAATTTACCATTTCAGTCATCTTTCTAAATGTACAGTTCATACAGAGTACATTCACAACATTGTGCAACTATCACACCTCATATCATCCCAAACTGAAAGTCTGTACTCACTGAATGATAACACCCTGTTGCCCCTCCTCCTGGAGTTAGTAATCTCTTACTGTCCATCTTTGAATTTGACTGTTTTCAGTACATCATATAAGTGGAACTGCGCAATATTTGTCCGTTCACATCTGGGTTATTTCTAGTTTCATTCATGTTATTGCAGGTATCAGAATTTCCTTCCTTTTTAAGGCTTGATAATATTCTGTAGTATATGTCCACCGCATTTTTCCTCCATCCATTGTTTGATGGTCATTTGTGTTGTTTCTACATTGGTTATCATCCAGTATTACGCTTAATAGATTTAAGTTGATAAGAGATTATGAGAGTTATATTTTCACCATTCTGTAGGTCAGAAAATTAAATTTTAGGTCAAATGCAGCTAAATGTTTGAGCAGGGTTGCAAACCTAGGTCTCTCTGAACCCAAAGTTTTTTCTTTTTTCTTCTTTTTTTTTTTTTTAATAGAAACTACATTTCTTATGTTTGCCATATTGATTCAGTAAGGAAAAGGCCTTATTAAAATAGCAAAAAATTTCCAAATTTTAAAATTTGGAATAGATATTTAAGAAAATGAGTAGATTTTTAAAAATTAGAGCTTTATAGCTATTACATAGTAGTTGCGATCATCCTGACAAACTCATACATGCATGGATATCAGTTTCAGTTCACAGTCCTCCCCGTTTTCTTTCCTGCTTTTCCTTCCCATCCTCCCTCCCCTCTCCCATTCTTCTTCCTCTTTCTAGTAGATTCCTTTTGTTCATCTATTAATTTACATTTGATTAGTTCTTTATGTTATCCTATCCTTCTCTTCCCTTTATTTTACTGCAACTTTCACATATGAGAGAAACATTAAACCTTTGAGTTTCTAACGTTGGCTTATTTCACTTATCCATCCATTTATCAACAAATGTCATAATTTCATTCTTTTTTTATAGCCAAGTAGACTCCATTGTATTATATGTACCAATTTCTTAATCTATTCATCTATTGACTGGGTTGATTCCATAACTTAGCTATTGTGAATTGTGTTGCTATAAACATTGGGTTGGCTGTATTGTAGTTAGCCAATTTTCGATCTTTGGGGAAAATACCAAGGAATGGGATAGCTGGGTCATGTGGTGATTCCATCTCCAGTTTTTTGAGGAACCTCCATACTGCTTTCCAGAGTGGTGGTACTTAGTCTGCAGTCCCACAGACAATGTACAAGTGTGCCTTGCCAGCATTTATTATTTTTGTATTCTTGATCATTGTCATTCTGACTGGACTGAGATGAAATCTTAGTGTAGTTTTGACTTGCATTTCCCTGATTGCTAGAAATTGTTGAACATTTTTCCATATATTTGTTGGCTATTTGTACTTATTCTTTTGAGAAGTTTCTATTTAGTTGTTTTGCCCATTTGTTGATGGGGTTATTTTTATTTTTTTCATTTTTTTTGGTGTTAAAACTTTTTGAGTTCTTTAATAGTCTGGATATTAATCTCCAGTTGAAGGAGCAGCTGGCGAAGGAGCTCTCCTCATGCTCTTAATCATTTCCTTTGCTGTGCAGAAGATTTTTAGTTTGACATCCTACTTAATCGAATTATTGGTTTTATTTCTTGTGCTTTAGGGATCTTGTTAAGGAAGTTGGTGCCAACACCTGTATGATGGAGTGTTGACCTACGTTTTCTTGCAGCAGTTGTAAAGTTTTTTTGTGTAATTTGATCCATTCCAATTTGAGTTTTGTACAGGGTAGAGAGATGGGTCTAGTTTCATTTTTTTATACATAGATATACAGTTTTCCCAGCATCATTTGTTAAAAGGCTGTCTTTTCTCCAGATATATTTTTGGCATCTTTGCCAAATATCATATAGCTGTAGGTTTGTGATTTGTCTTTATGTCTTTATTCTGTTCCACTGGTCTTTGTGTCTATTTTGATGACAATACCATACTGTTTTTGTTACTACAGCTCTGTAGAACAATTTCAGATCGGGTATTGTGATGCCTCCTCCTTCACTTTTCTTACTTAGTTTTGCTTTGCTTATTCTAGATTTCTTATTCTTCCAAATGAATTTAAGAATTGTTTTTTTTTCTAATTCTGTGAAGAATGTCATTGGTATTTTGATGGGGATTGCATTGAATCTGTATATTGCTTTTGGTAGTATGGCCATTTTGACAATGTTGATTCTGCCTTTTAAGAACATGGATGTCTTTCCATCTTCTAAGTCTTCTATTTCTTTCTTCAGTGGTCTATTTTTTTTTTTTAGGTTATTGTGAATGGGGTCGTTTTTCTGATTTCTTCTTGGCCCAACTACTGTTGGTTTAAGTATGTTGATTTTGTATCCTGCTACTTTGCTAAATTCATTAATGAGCTCTAGAAGTCTTTTGGTGATTTTTTTGTTGTTGTTGTTTTTCTAGATATAGAATCATATTGTTGGCAACAGAGATAGATTGACTTTTTTTCCAGTTTGTAAACTTTGATTTCCTTTTCTTGCCTGATGGCTCTGGCTGTTTCAAGGACTATATTGAATAGGAGTGGTGAGAGTGGAAAGCTTTGTCTTGTTCCTGAATTTAGAGGAATTGTTTTAGCTTTTCTCTAGTTAGTATGATGTTAGCTTTGAATTTGTCATAAATGGCCTCTATGATATAAAAGTAAGTGCTTGTGAATTCTTACTCTTATCGTGAAAAGTTTTTATTTCCCCCTAGAATTTGAAACTGAGTTTTTCTGGCCATGGTAACTTTGACTGGCAGTTGTTTCTTTTAGGGCTTGAAATGTCTCATTCCATCCCCTTCTTGATTTTGGTGTCTGAATCAAAAAATCAGAAGTGAGAGCCTTATTGGTTTTTCATTTGACTAGGTCTGTTTGGGGTCTTTGAGCCTCCTATATGTGGATGACTATGTTGTTTCTTAAATGGGAAAAAATTTCTATAACTATCTTCTGAATGTTTGAAAATGCATAATGCCTTTGGTTTCTATCTCCATGTTTCCTTCTGTCCCAGTGATTCTCAGGTTTGGTTTTTCAGTGTTCTTCCAGAGTTCTTGTATATATTTCTGGTCATGTTCTATATTTTTCCCTTTATTGCATTCCTGTGTACTCGAGATCATATAACCTGTCTTAAAGGCTTGCAGTTCTGTCTTCAAGGGCTGAGGTTCTATTTTCTACACAGTCTAATCTGTTAGTGGTGCCTTCAGTTGAGTTTTTAATTTGATTTGTCTTTCATTTCTAGGAATTCTGCTGCATTTCTTTTCATTGTTTCTATTCCTTTATTCAAATGTTTTTTTATAACCTGTAATTGCTCTCTTAATTCCTTCCCTAGATCGTCTAGTTCATTGAACACTTTAATAATTTGTTTTTCATGATCTTTCTGTGAACTTTAGTTCACCTCACTATCAGTGGTATCCTTTGTTGGGAAATTGTGGATTTGGGAGGAATTTTTGCCTATTTTCTCATGTTTTCCGAGGTCTTGGACTTGCACATCAGTTGAGGTGGATTCCCCTACCTGTTCTCTTGTATGTTTGTCCTTTTGTGTGTAATTATCTCATTTGATCTGGGACTTCTGTTTTTGATTTATGAGTAGATCCCAAGGTTTGGGACCTGAGGTTCCTCTCTGACTGTTCCTCTGAGTCCCTGTTGGTGGTTTGGGGCTTTTATCATCTTACTTCTTTAAATTGGAGTAATGTCAGAGAATGTTTAGTTCAGCATCAGAGAGTCTAACTTGTGAACCCTTACTGTCCCTGTAGGTTCCCAGCACCTTGCAGAATTGGATGAAATAAATAATAGTAACAACTATTGCAAACAATACAGAGTATGAAAGTGAGATACTCAGGGCCTACTATGGGTTTAATAACTTTGAACGGGCAGTTGTTTTCTTTCAATGTTGAAATTATTCATTTAATGACCACCAATAAACAGGAATAATGGGTTCACTAATTGTGAACAGTAAAAACAATAACCATGAACTAGATCTGGCTTTAAAGCAGAGTCAATTATATAATTCACAGCAGTAATATAATTGTATCAGCATTTCTGGTATAAGGGCATGAGTTATAAAGCAGTTAGTCCTGAAATATGGTAAAAATAAAGCTAATTAGGGAGAAAGAATGTGACAGAAAGTTAGAAAACAGTTTATAATAGTTTCAAAAAGTGAGAGAGATGCAGAAGAGATGTAGCAGGTGATTTTTTATATAGAGGAAAGAAAACAAATACAAGTACTGGGAGAGAGCACAATAGAATTTGGCCATTAGCAGGAAAAGAAAGAGAAACAAGAGAAAAAAGCAAATGAAAATAATCCAAAACCAAAAAACCTGAACCCTCAAAAGACAATGCTGGGAAAAAATAATTACATTAAGAAATACTAAAAATGAGAGAAAAATAAACTAATAAGAGTATGTATATATGTCTCTGAACCTATCAGTACAACAGGAATTTACATGTGCGCATGCACACACAGAAAGAATAAAAATAAATTTAAAAAAATCAAAATTTAAAGAAAAATTAAGGAAGAACAAAGGAACCTGCCACTGAAGTGGTCAAAATAGTTGACCATATTGGATGGTCACTGTCTATGCCCAACAGTCTTTCTTTCCAATTCTTGGGTTGTACTGATAAAGCAAGGGGTAGAGGTTGTTAACCCCTTCCTGTTTTTGTGTTGCTGTCTTGAGTTGCCAGTTGGAGTGTCCTAAGATTGAAACTGTTTGATATGATTCAACTTTCCTTCTCACCAGAATAAGATGGGGAGGGGTTGGGAAATACTGTCAGTGGGAGTTTTGTTCATTTGAACAGGTTTTTGTGCACTGCCAGTATAGTGTTCTGCATCATTCTGTGAGGGGGAGCTCCAGTTTGTGATACTGACATCTGAACAGGTCTCAATTGCTTTATTGGGTGGTGCCTTCCTTGCAAAGACTAGAATGACCTGCCCCTAGGACTAGACAGTAGCCAGTTTCTTATATAGGTCTGGTTTTCAAGACCCTCCCAAGAAATCCATTTGTGGGGCAGGGGGGCTGATCCTCCACTCACTGCTGCCCAAGTGCAAGCCTTTCTGGAATTAGTCCCTGAGCGTATTCACCCCACATGCTCATATTCCCAGTCTGCTTTAGTTGGTCATGTGAGCTGCTTCACATGGAGGCAGTATGGCAAGGAGAAGCAGGTCTGGTTCCTTCCCCTTTGCCCTTATGACTTTAATCCCCCGCCCATTATGTCCCATCAGGCCCAGTCTAGGTCAGTCAATAGACACCCACTGGGATCTTGTGGCTGTTTGTTGTTGTTGTTTCTCCTGATCTCCTGCCGTGTAGTCATCATTGTGGCAGCATCACCCCAAGATGGCTCCTGCTTCTTGAGTGGCCAGTTGAGATATGGAGTGTGCTTTTCAAGCACTAGTATGCAGTGCAGTTTCTGGATCAGCTAAGAGTAGGCAGCAATTTTGATCTCAGACCTTTCCGTACCTAAACTGTGTCATGTCCCTATTTCCCCAACTCAATTGGGGCTAATCCACACTGGCAATGCCCATGTGGCAGTCAGGCGTGCTCTTTGTTCTTCATTTATTGTACCCATATTTCTGAGTCCGTAAGCCACTTTGTCTAATATTGAATTTTAGTGCAATCCCTCTTTCAACCACCTCTCTGCCCACCTGCTTGCTTTGCACTACTCTGCCATCTTCCAGGCCTCATGTGTAGACGTTTATGAAAATGCAGTGCCTCTTAAGGATAAAAGAACAGATCCAGTAAGTGCAAATATCTATGATAGACTTGATGCCTCTTTTCCAAAGAGGTGCATTCATAATTTTCACATACATGAAAATACTTTCTCCTGCTTTTGAGATTTCTGAAGATTTTCAGATATAGAGAATGTATTGGAAATTGTTGGTAAGTTGGGGTTTTGGGGTGACATAGTTGTCTGGGTGGCATGACACTTTTCCCATTTCTTTTCAGTCATCTCTATTTTAAAAACTTATTGAATTGAACCTTAAATCATAGAAATGCTAATAAATAGTTTTCAGGCTAGTTTTACATTAACTTTAAGCTTTCTTTAGTTTTCAGTTTCCTGTTTGATGAAAAATGTGGCTATAATAACGAACACCTCCTGCTGAACTTGAAGAGAGACCGGGTAGAGAGTAGAGCTGGATTTAATATTCTGCTGGCCGCGGAACGTATCCAAGTGGGTTATTACACAAGCTTAGACTATATCATTGGAGACATTGGAATTACAAAAGGAAAACACTTTTGGGCCTTCCGTGTGGAGCCATATTCATACTTGGTGAAAGTGGGAGTCGCTTCCAGTGATAAACTACAAGAATGGCTCCATTCTCCCCGGGATGCAGTTAGTCCAAGGTAGATCTTTTATTGATGTAGAATGTGATAATGTTTTTGACAGTAACTATCCTTTCAGGCAAGATAAGCCTGAAAATAGACTTGGGTTTATCTCTTCTACTTGGAGTATATATTTCTTAGATTCGGGTACTTTGGTTGTGGTTGGGTGGCTGGCTTAGGAAAAGAGTTAGGTTATCTCTCATTGAATAATGAGAGCAGCAGTAAATTTTTGATGCTCCAGGGATATAATATTGTTTTAGATGCTTTGATTATGATATCACCTCACAGTTTTAAATTTTGAAAGTCTCATACATACCTTAATACATTTTATGATAAATATTACCCACATATATAGAGAAATGCCTCTAATTGCCATACTTCATAGTTGATACAAGTTGTTCTTTGATTATGGGACCCAGTTTCTTTAAGCTTTCCCATATGTCCTTAACAAAATTGGGTCATGTTATAGACATGTTTTATAGCTAAGAATTCTGATTTCTTAAGCAATTGAATAATGGAGATTGAATGGTTTAGTTTCTTTTGGATGGGATAAAATTGTTGTTGCAGTGTGATCTCAAATATATGAGAAGCTAGCTATATAGGTAAAAAATGGAAGGATCTCAGGAGGCTGAGGCAGGAGGTTAAGCTCCCCTGGGTTCAATCCCTGGTACATAAATAAATAAATAAATAAATAAAGGAAGGGATCATATACCAACATTTTTTCTATTTTTATTGTTTTATAATTGGGGGGAAGATTTCTTGATGTAGAAAATTTAATTAGGAAATAGAGTTCTCAAGGAGAATGACACATGCTTTTTTTTTTTCCCCCCTATGTTAGTTTGAAGTGCCCATTTATTCCATGGCCTGGTAATTCCTTGGATTAGGGCATACATCTTGCCTTTGTGTTTTCTTATATATGACTGTGCCATGGATATTCAATCTTTGACCATTTGCTTCACTCCCCTCCCCCTTATTTGTTTTTGATAGACCAAATTTGTTAAATAATTTTTAGTTCTCACTTGTATGTACATATAGGTAAAAATGTATGATGTTTTATGACATGGATTTGGGGGTTGATTATGCTTTTATATATTTTGTGAAAACGTTTTGAAGATACTTGAAGACTTAATGGATAAAAGTACATATTCTGTGTTTGTGTATTATGTTTTAGATATGAGCAAGACAGTGGGCATGACAGCGGAAGTGAAGATGCCTGTTTTGATTCTTCACAACCTTTTACATTAGTTACTGTAGGCATGAAGAAATTTTTTATACCCAAGTCACCTACTTCTAATGAACCTGAAAATAGAGTTCTTCCCATGCCAACAAGTATAGGGATTTTCCTGGACTATGATAAAGGCAGAGTGAGCTTCTATGATATGGATCATATGAAGTGCCTTTACGAGCGCCAGGTGGACTGTTCTCATACGATGTATCCAGCATTCGCATTAATGGGCAGTGGAGGAATTCAGCTTGAAGAACCCATCACAGCAAAGTACCTGGACTACCATGAGGACATGTAGTTGAAACATCCAGTGTGACTGGGATGGAAAATGTTAACAAAGCAATGCCTTGATGTTAGCCTTTGTAACTAATTAGACACCACCCAAGACTTGGTCACACATTTGTTTGCAGTGCCTGAATCTTCTTAAAAGACGGAAAATCTAAACAGTCTCGTGTCTTCCATGTTACTTACTCTTCTGCCTTTCACAAACGACAGAGTGAAGGCATTCTTTCCTGGCTAATACTGAATGGTTAACTTTGCAACTGAATCATATTTCTCTTTAGGTATAGGGAATCTAATTTATTTATATCAGCTGGTATTGCTAATACTTACATTCCTTTTTGGGGTGGTGGGGGAGGTGTACAACACTATTTATTATGTTTTTTGTGTTTGGTGTTTCATTTTTATATCATGGTTATGTCGTAAGATAGTTTTAAATGGTTGTGGGTAGAAATGAGTAGTAAACAGTATGTCTTACATTTGGTTTTAATAACAAAACAAAGTTATAGATAAAAAGGCCATAAAAATGGTAACATATTTAAGTGGAAAATTATATATTTCAAAGTGTATTAATTGTATGTAGCCTGGAAAATGAGCACTGCTGTTATTTTTTTCCTTAAGACCACATAGTGTATTGATCAGGACATCTAAAAGAGTTCCTTTAGCTATAATGCCCATTAACTGGCATGTGTAGTAAACATGGTGTCTGATAGAAAGCCATGAAGTTTTTCACTCATATAATTTTTTTTCAGAAAGAAATTATCTTGAGTTTTTCCTCACTGTCTGAAAATATTTGTGTTTACATTAAATAATTACTTTCCAGAAATACTAGTTAAGATGGACTGATATTGCCATCGTGATCATTCTTTTGCCCCTCCTATTGTGTCTTGTGATTTTCATTTTTTGACACAACTATACATATCAGGTTTTTCTGGTTTGTTAACAAGTTTGAAAAGTTTATGATATGTTTTTAGTAGCATTGAATTATATTGTAAAATGTGGAGTACTAATTGTTCATTTGTATGACATTTTCTATGGTTCATTGGTAACAAGTGTTTGTAGTATAAGGAACTAAACCCAAATTTAATTGTTAAGGAATACTAACTAAAATCATAATGACTGTGTATACTCTTTTAAAATTTGCATTCTTTTAAACTGAAGAATTACATTTTCTCCCAATTAGATGTTAATTTTTGAAAGATATTCTTTTAAATAGGTGATTTTTATTTAAACTGCCTATTTTTTTAAGTTAAAATGTTCAGAAACTAAGACTGTTAAATATTTAGCACAGATCACTTATGGAATGCTATTGACATATTTTAATGAAGTAACCAAAACTCCATGGGATCTATTTTTTATTTTTATTTTTTAGTGGAAATCTCTTATTCAGGCACTGCATAAGTTCCTCTCATCCCACCAAACTACATAGAAAATATAGTGGAGAATTTAATAGTCTTTGTTACTTTCCCATCTATGAATAGCACTTTATCTCATAGGCTCAACTAAGAAAATATGCAGTGTTATGTGGATCACTGTGCAATGAAGCTGCTGAAGTCGTACATGCAGTTAAGTTTGACACTCTTAAGCCTTGTGTAAGCACATATCACGTAGGCATTTTTAAATATAAAGCTTTAACAGGAATAAGAAAGCTGTTTCAAACATTGTATAGTTATATATAAATTGTTCAACAGAATTTCATTTTTAATAAAAATTTAAAAAGTCAAGTGTAATTATTCAGATCTGTACTTAAGGAATTATATGGAAAATTGAAACAAAATATTAAAACATAGATAGCTGCATGTAGTAACAGAGCTAAAGTTTTGTATGAAATTATTTTGGATGGTGGTTTATTAGCTTTAATCCTCTTGTGGGAGGTGATCATGAGAAAAGATTAACATGAAATTAATGTATATCAATTGTTTAGTTGATCAATTTCTCTAATATTTCTTTTCTGATTCATGGTAGATTAGGTTTTGCCTGGATGAGTGACCGTTTACTTCACATTCGTGCTCTTGAATTATGGGGCTCTGGTAGTTGGGTTCAGTGGTAGATCATAAGTTGTTACAAATGCTTGATTGTTTTAATATTTTTAAAAAGTAAATTCAAGGCTTACCCCTATGATATTGTATAATAACTTAATTCTCATATCACAGTTCCTTAAAAAAAAATAGTAGGAGTCTCTACAATCTCTATCTCCTTTTTGGACCTTTTAAATCTTTAGTCAGGTACTATAATCGGTTGGGTTCTGGGAGTATGTTCCATGTGAGAATGTAATCAAACTTACTGCTGTAGAAAATTGTGAGAATTACTGTCATAGGCAAGAATATTTTAAAGGAATTATGTTCTCCAATTTAAAGAAGAGTTTATCTAATATTTATGGAAACATTTTGACAAATTGGAGTTTTTCTTGGGATTATTTTGCTTTAAAAAATAAACTCAATGGAATTTAGTTTTTTTAAAACTTAGGTTTGGAACTATTTCGTTCATTTTTGTGAAAACCTTAATTCCTGCTTTCTGTAGACATTGAGCTATATGCTGGGTATAAAGAGAACAAGGCAGTTTATCTAGGTTCCTTCCTTTATGGAATTTAACTTCTAGCATAATTTAACTTTATGGAATTTAACTTCTTCCAAAATAAGGAAGGTGCTAGGGAATGCTTGACATGGGAGCTAACATTAGATTTGGTGATGAGGGAAGCCCTTCAAAGGAGAATGATAAAAGTTTAACACCAAATTGCTAAGAAGTGAACAAGGACAAACTGAAGCAAAGAGCATTACCAGTAGAGTGGACAAGAACAAAAGCCTTTGGGATGGTGAATTCTTTAGCATTCTAGCAGGTAGTAGAATTCTCCCCAGATGGTTCAAATGAAAAGTTGTAGAAAGTATTGTTTAACGATATAGGCAATGAGCAGGCACTGGAAAGACTAGCCATAGCCTGTAGCCACTACTGCCTTTAAAGCGAAAAGGACAGGGGTGAAGTACTACTACTGCTACTTAGATCTTAGTGGGAATTAGGGTCTTTTTCTTTTCCACAGTTTTTAATTGATGCCTTATAGTTGTACATAATGATGGGATTTTTGTTACATATTCATACATTCGCACAGTATAACGATATAGTTTGGCCAGTATTTGTCTCCGTTAGTTTCTTCCTCCCCACTTCCCACCTCTTAGTCCCTTTTCTCAACTGATCTTTGTTTGATTTTCATGAGATCCTTGACCACCGCATTCTTTACTTTTTTCCTCTCTAGCTTCTGAATATGAGAGAAAACATGACCCTTGACCAGATTCTGGGTTTGGCTTATTTCACTTAATATGGTCTCAAGTTCTATCCATTTTCCTGCAAATGGCATAATTGCATTTTTCTTTTTGGCTGAATAAAATTCCTTTGTGAATATATGCCACACTGTGTATCCATTCATCCATTGATGGACACCTAGGCTGCTTCCACAGTTTGGCTACCGTGAATTGTGCTGCTATAAACATGGATATGCAGGGGCTGGGGTTATGGCTCAGTGATAGAGTGCTCGCCTCGCACGTGCAAGGCCCTGGGTTCGAACGATCCTCAGCACCACATAAAGTTTTAAAAAAACATGGATATGCATGTATCACTGTAGTATAATACACTGTAGTATGAGTGACTAATTCTTTAGAATAAATACTGAGGAGTGGTATAACTGGGTCATATGATAGTTCCATTCCTGGTTTAAAAAAGGATATTTTTGATCTGAAGTGTCAGAATATATGCAAATAAAAGGAACTGACTTGAAAACTCAGAAAGCTGTGCAACTTTTCCTTTAGCCTTCGGTATTTTTTCCTTTTTAAATAATTTTTGGTTGTAGATGACACAGTGTCTTTATTTATTTTTATGTAGTGCTGCGGATTGAACCCAGTGCCTCACACATGCGAGGCAGGCGCTCTTCAGTGAGCTACAGCCCCAGCCCTCTGTTATTTTTCAGTTAACTGTTTCATGTGGATAACATCTGTGAGATGAATGATGGGTGCTTTTTGAGTTTGCCATCCTTTGTCTTCTATTTGGAATAAAAAAGAATAAGAGCTATGTGAAGAAAAAAGTATCCTTAAAGTTTTGGCTAGACTTAACTGCAATATAGAAGATTATAGAATATTGTCAAAATATATTGAAATGTGCCATACACGAATTGTAGCTGGTGCTGGGGATTGATCCCAGAGTGAAGCGCTCTACTACTAAGCTACTTCCCCAGCCCTAGATTCTCTTTTTTAAAACCTAACTAAACTCAGTGGTTGGTTGGTTTTCTACAGGCCACTGCATGCTTTTGAAAGACTTTAACACAGTCCTTGGTATATATATTGGCATGTGGTTGAAATGTTGTCAAGAGTCTATACTGATTGGCCAGATATATCACATGAAGATCTGCTTTATTTTTTTTAATTGATTTTATTTTTTAAATACATGATAGGGGAACACATTACAATTATTATTACACAATTTTTCATCTCTCTGTATATAAAGTATGTTCACACTGATTCATGTCTTCATATATGTACTTTGGATAATGATGTCCATCACATTCCACTATCCTTGCTAACCCCCTGCCCTCTCCCTTCCCCTCCCATCCCTCTGTCCTATCTAGAGTTCATCTATTCCTTCCATGCTCCCCCTCCCTACCCCACTATGAGTCAGTCACCTTATATCAGAGAAAACATTTGGCATTTGTTTTTTTGTCAGGGGATTGGCTAACTTAGCATTATCTTCTCCAACTCTATCCATTTACCTGCAAATGCCATCATTTTATTCTCTCTTGTTGCTGAGTAATATTTCATTGTGTATATATGCCACTTTTTAAAACCATTCATCTACTGAAGGGCATCTAGGTTGGTTCCACAGTTTAGCTATTGTAAATTGTGCTACTATAAATATTGATGTGGCTGTGGCCCTGTAGTATGCTGTTTGTAAATCCTTTGGGTATAGACGGAGAGGAAGGATAGCTGGGCCAAATGGCAGTTCCATTCTGCTTTCTTAAGTCTTGAGCTCCCAAAACAAACAGTCTTAGCATAGAGGTAATATTCTTTGAAAATACTATACCTGCTTTATAATCTTAAAACAATTGGAGCAATGTTGTTTTTCTAACTTTTGTATTAGCACTATGAAAGAATTTTATAATCTCCTAAAAGTAATATGGATATATTGTA